ATACAAAAGGTTGGCAAAAGGGGACAAAAATCATAGTAGGTAATAAGATTTTTTTATTTCTTGGAGTATCATATTTTGATTGTCAATTTGTGGTCATACAAAAGGTTGGCAAAAGGGGACAAAAATCATAGTAGGTCAGTTTGTGGCAAGCGTGAAGAGTCCTATACATGTGCTTTTCATCTTTCCTTACCCCTACTTTTCCTTCCATCTATTCCTGAACACAAAACTTTAGGACAGGCATGGAGCATGACATGTCAAAAATTACACTGGATTCTGAACCTGGTGACATGAAAAATGGTGATGTGAACTGAAATAGGCAAGTGGAGGTCAGGTGTGGTAGAGGGGTGGCAGGGTAGATCAGAGTTTGTGGAGGAACACACAGGAGAGGAGAAGTGAGTTCATACTTGAGCTTACTGAGTGTGATGAGACGAAGAATCAGCACCAGGGAGCTGCTCAGTGGTAAGAAAAATCTGGTAAATAAAATCTGTTAAGTAAGTTTCATCTCATTGTGAGATAAATAAGAAAAGATAAGTTTATTTTAAATCAGCATCACTTCTTCATTGCTCAAAAAAGCAGAAGCAAATTTATAGCTTTGAACAGAGAAGTAACTTATAGTGACTAAAGTTATTTTTACAGAGAAGTTATACTCACTTTACTTCTCTTATGATTCTGTATAATCACAAAGAATACAATGTTGGGCTTTTAGCTATATTGCTGCATTCTGGAGGTATGATGAATTTGAGGCAAATTTTCTTTCCCCATTCCCAATGGAATCATCACAGTTACTTCCCATAAATTACCACAATAAAAGAGTAACTTAATAGGTTTTCAAATAAAACAGATTTTTTTTCTCTCATATACCACTGTTTTATTACTTAAATAGAAAGTAAGTAAAATAAAATTTCCTAGGGAAAATTTCCATCATTCTAAATTAGTTCTTTTTTAGCACCATGTTGATGTCATAAACTTGTTCCTTCCACATAATCCACAATCAAGTTAAATTTGGGTTGAGAGTTATTGTGTACTTGTATCATCATTAACCAACTACCAGTGATCACATACTTTTCAGAAACCAAAAAAGAAAAAAACTCACTTTAGGGCACCTCATCATAGATAATCACATATTTTTTTAGAAAACTTTATTTTTTGCTTAGTTTCTTTTGTTTGATTGTGTCAAGACTGAGTGGGAAAAAATAGAAGCTTAGACAGCCTCCTATAAGCAAACTTTTTCAAATTATCTAGCTATGTCAGATCAAAGTGCCTTTTTTAAAACCCTACTCACAGCATCTTAATTACCTTGACTTTCTTTCCCTTTGTGATAACAACCCAAGAATGAAAGTTTTTTAGAATAACTGGCAATATTAGTAAAATGTCATGTCTTGGGTAGGATCTTGTCACTTTATCTTTAGTTAGATACTATGTCAAAACAGAGGTTGGGGTGGTGAAATTGGTCACTAGTTAGATGTATACAAAAATGTTTCCAAAAAATATTAGAATCTTTTCTCTGCTGATTGATTGTATGCTTCCAACGTGAAGGCTGGATGGGTGACCCTCCCCCTCCAGTTTCCTCACAGTTCCAAGCAGGAGAAATGTGACACTTTTTTATATGAGAATATTGTGAGTTTCGTGAAATATCTATATTAGAATTACCACTAACTCTTACCCTTAAATGGATATAAATGCCCCCCATCATAATGAAATGTCATGATAACCTGGCACAAGTCACTAGCTAACAGGGCCTCAAGACTGAGCATTCTTGCCTGAGCTATTTTCCTCTCTAACTCTCTAGTTCATGTGGGCTCAGTTGATACTATTTTAAGATTCAGCCTGTGGAGGGAGAACACCTCTAGCAGTGAAGATACCTCAGTCTCTGGCAACCCAATAAAAACCTGCTCAGTTAACAAATAGTGGGCTGATTCCCCTGGCTTTGAGCTATGGAGCCCTTTTAAAGGAGATGACATCAGTGTTTTGTTCATTATTAGACTAATCAATGAGAAACTCAAAGGAGAAGAAAGACCTTCTGCTGAGCCATCTTCCAGCATCCCTGTTCCTTTTGCATTTTAATTCTGATGTGCACTTTACCCTTGTGCTGTTTGGAATCCTTAGACTTCAAAGTACAGTCATACCCATACAGATGAGCTTATCTCTAAACAGATCCAAGTTCTTAGGTTCCAGTAACCAAGAGAAGCCTGGTTTGTGGGCTTTAAACTGGAAAAAAATTTTCAAATTACCATAAACATAATGACTTAAGGCAACATAAATTTTTTATTCTCAAGTTCTGGATTTTAGAAATCCGACATGAGTGTTACTGCCTGAAAACAAGTAGGAAGCAGGACATCATGAGATGTTCTGGAAGCCCCAGGGAAGTAAACTTTCCCTTTCCTTTTCCAAAAGCTTCTAGAGACTGCCTTACACTGGTCATTTCTATTTTTAAAACCGCAAGGGTCAGTTGAGTGTTTTCTTACATTAAGTCACTCTCACTCTCCTCCTTCCTTCATTCCCTTTTAAGGAACAATAGACCACATTTGGCCCATTTTGATAATCCAGGAAAATCTCTGTATCTCAAGATCTTTAATCACTTCACATCATTGCCAGTGCTGGCTTATAATTAGCATTGTTCTTGTAAAGAACAATCTCCATCTCTGATGGAGATTACCGTCTAGTGAGGTCAAGAGTCAGCAAGTTGATCACCAAATGAACATATATTTCTAAGACATGAAAAGCATAAAGAAGTAATAGACACCAGTCAATGAGCGAGAGAGAACTTGGGGAAATGACTACTTATTCGTACTTTGCTAGGGAAGACTTTCTGATGTGTTGATGTTTAATCAGAGACCTGAGTAGATTGAACCAGCCATGGAGGAGTAAAAAGAAGACTAATACTTAGCTAAAGTATGTATAAATGGCAGAACATCCGTGGGTAATTTAGAGTAGTATTTCTTGATGTGCTGCTGAAGATTGGTCGCTCAACCACGAATTGTTACAAGTCTGCAGCAAAATTAATTCAGAGTTGGGCCCTCCATGGTGGTGCAACAGGTTAAAGCACATCACTGAGAAGCTAAAGTCACTTCAGCATAAGTTCAATCCCCACGCCAGAGGTGATCCATGTGGAGCAGCAGACCTCTCCTGACCTGCCCACTGCTCCCCTCAGCAGTGTACTTCGTCAGTCAGCCTGTCCTGCTCCCCACTCTGTCTCTGGTGAATCCTTTCACTGCTTTGCACCTCTGGCCTGTACCCTAGCTCTGTATGCATAAATAAAAATCTTTAAAAACATTAATTCAGAGTTGCCAATAAATGCTTTGCTGCTACCATAGCATTTTGAAAAAATAAATTTAAGCTATAGTCATGGTATTGCCATATCAAAGAAAATAAGAATGTGGTCTGAGCCTCTATTTGTAGAGTTCACTAACCTCTGTGATGTAAATACTCTGTGATGTAATGTCAAGGCACCAACAATTTAACCATCGCATTAGCCAATAAGGGTCCAGCAGACCCATGCAGTACAGTAAGTTTCCAATAAATGTAGCTGCTGCCTTTTCCAACTGTAAAGTGTCTTTATTGTTATCATGTATTTTCATGAAGTGCACCAATGTTATAGGACAAGGTTAGTGTTATTAAGAGGTAATGGATGGAAAGTCATGGGGATTGCAACAGTAGGCAGCTTTGAGGAAGCTATCTAAATTTGTTTAGACTTATTAATAGGCAGGTGTATCTGGAAGTGAGATGAGCAGTAGAAGTCATTATCAGATAGCAACTTTGGGAAAAGTCTGAGATGAAGATGAGGTGAATGGGAAGATAAAGAATCTTCCCAGTGGGAAGATAGAAATATATCTATTGAAAATCTGTGAATATGAAAATAAACTTGCTTAAAATTGATTGCCTGATGTTTGTAAATACATTTCCTTCTTTTTAAGGAGAAAAAAAAATTGTTTGTTTGCTTTTGTCTTAATGAGGAAGCAAGAAGTCACTTAACAAAGTTAGCCAAGTCAAGTAGTTACTTTAATAATATTTGTAAATGGAATTCCAAGAAAACTACATTGACTAATTTTATGACTATTGAATTTAATAATTAAAAACTAGATTGCATTTTCTATGTATGTTAATTTCCTCATTTTATTCATTTTTATTGTATTTTATAAAAATATTGATTCACCCTCTGGAGGAGGTCTTATCACACACAACTGCTTTTGAAAATGTTGGTAAGATTCAAACAAACAACACTTTGCATGTTCTGGCAAATAACTACATAAAATACAGAGAGAGTGAGAAGTGGTTCCACAATGAAATCTCAGGTCTCTTATTTGGCCTCTTTTACATGTTAGGAAGTCAGCAGCCCTGTAAAAAACCTCTCTCTGTCTGCTTTGTGACTATCCCTACTTGGTGTTCAGTAGGTTAGTATCCATAGGATACAAAGCTCCAGATCTTATAAATAAAATACATGTAGATCATTTGGAGTTCTAGCCCTGTTTCTTTACCTTTAGTCTGAAGTGATGCTGCAAACCATTATTTCTTGTAATTACCTAGGTCCTTTTATTAAATTTAGTAATTCCCTCGTATCGTAGTGGGTCAGGAATGTTTGCTTATCTATCTCTGATAAAATACACACACAGATAACTTACTATCTGTTACTTATTTTCTTAAAATCTATTAGGATAGGAATCATACATGTTCAAAACTAACATCTTGTTTTTTCTTTTAACCAGAGTCCTAGAGAAGTCAAATAGAACCCTGAAACTTATCCCCTGGTCTACTTGAATGTGACTCAGAAAGAAAACAGGAGGAAAAGTATCATTCTCCAAGAAATCATAATGAGCAAAAAAGGTGGGAGTTAAAGGCATATGAATTTCAGGACTTTCCACTGCCATCTAAGCTACACTGTGCTGTGTGACTTCCAAGAGGAAATCATTTTCCCTCTCAGGTGTTTGTGGGTTTTTGAAGTAACGCAGCGTTGAGCTATTAAAAGGACACTGGACACTAGGCGGACACTAGGCGGAATCAGGAGCCACAGCTGAGAGGTCGATTTGACACCGACTGGCGGCAACCCTCTGTTGGTCACAGCCTCAAAAAGCTTCCATGTCATTGTTTAGAAAATAAAGGCTTTCGGTCAGATAATAGACTACTGAACTCTGAAAATGGATGTGATACCAGGAGAGAGAAAATAAGTGTGTAAGAAAGAAGAGAAAATATAGAAAGATTAAAGACCAAAGAACCTTTGTGAAACTACACTACCTTGGCTTTCTGTTGATGCTACATCTCTTCTTCCTTCACTGTTCTTAAGTCTCTAAGTCTGTTTCCTTGTAGAAACCCCAGCCTTCCTTGATATGGGGCCTGTCCATCATTTGTTTTCTATTCACAAGCTAGCACGTCTGGTTTCTTTTCACTGGAAATTTCATATTCTTTTGTGAGGTTCACTATGATGAGAACAGGACTGAGTTTATAAACCATTAACATTGGCAGCCTTATCATGACTTACGTATTTTTACAGCAAGTAAAAATTGTTAGTCTTATCAGTTCACATTTTTGACAAAGCATGCATTCCTTGCTCATCTCTCATTAGATGAGCTCACTCTATTTCAGTCATTCTGAAGTCAGTCTAGTAGACTGAACATATTAGGAAAACAGACATTTAGGATGTTTGTTGAGTAGCAGTGAGCAAATTCAGATGCTTTGTTTCTGCTGGCTTCTTTTGCCATGAGTTAACTTCCGACAAAAACAGAGGGAGCATGTGTGAGTATACATTATACATATCCTTTTATTCTAGGAGAACAATTTTGAATTCTTGAATAAGCATAAGAGCAAATTAATGATCTTTTTAGTATCTTTGCTTTCTTGTCTTTGTCAGTGACCTAGGAACTAAAACTTTGTTATTGTTTTTTCACTTTTGAACTGGATATTTATATATTTAGTAAGCTTTTAATGTGTTATTTAATTCTTTATAGTTTCTTATATTTGTATTAAGATAATAATAAAAGCATAAATTCTAAATATTTGGTTTATGATGTTCTCTGAGAAATATGCAAATTGATAACAATTCCTATATTTTCCCTCTGTGTATGAAATCCTCTCCCTTTTAGTTCTTGTCCACTGATGCAATAACATTCTGATTTATTGCTGTCTTAAGTCAGAATTTCCTGATTTGGACAATGGGAACTTCTGCATATCGGTGCCTGTGTCCTTTTGACATGACCTGGAGAATAATGGGGTACTTCCTGCTTCTGATTTTACTTATAAGTAACAAACTTTGTAAACCATTAGCTCAGAGAGTTTTGGATTTAGTTAGAGTTACCAGCATGCTTCTACACTGATCTCATGTCTGAATTTCACCAGAACAGGTTGCCAGATCAGGCAGGACAACTTAAAGCAGCACATTTAGATCTAAGGTTTTTGTATGCTTGAAAACATTATTGAGGACCCCTCAAAGGGCTTTCTTAGAAAGTATATTATATCTGTTGATGTTTTCCATATTTGAAATTTAAACTGATACACTTTAAAAAAAAGATACACAAGCATGCACATGTTTAGTCTTAGGAATATTGTCAATAGCACATATATCATGCAGCTTCTGGAAATCTTCACAGCACAGCTGTGAGAATGAAAGTGAAAAGGCAAATAATATATTGGTGATAATTTTGACAGTAATCTGACTTTGTGCATGCCCTGAAACTGTTTCAAGGGCAGTAGTGAAAACTGCTTTCTTAAAGTATAAGCAAACAAGGAGACCACCACATGAGAAGATTTGGTGAGTTTCTCTCAAAGAACACCTTTGTAAACAGCCATCTTCCCAGCGCCTCAGTGTTCTGCATAAACACCATAACTTTTGTAAGGCCATTAGCTCTCTGGGAGTCCTTCCTAAACCAGAACATTTAAGGCTAACCTTTCATCACTAATAATTCAATTCAAATCGACTTATTCAATGGCTTGTCAGTTATTTTGCAGGATATTTAGAGACTTGGACTTAAGATGGCTCTTAAGAAAGATTTAGGGCCCTCCCTGGTGGCTCAGTGGGTTAAAAAACAGCACTGCAAGGCCCTCCCTGGTGGTGCAGCGGGTTAAAGCACAGCACTGAGAAGCTAAAGCCACTTCCCATGAGTTCGATTCCCACCCGCCCCGGAGGTGACCACATGGTGTGGCAGACCTCTCCTGACCTGCCCGCTGCTCCCCTCAGCTGTGTACTTCATCGATCTGCCTGTTCTGCTCCCTGCTCTGTCCCTGGTGAATCCTCTCACCCTCCGCATCTCTGGCCTGTACCCCAGTTCTGTATGAATAATAAATAAATCTTAAAAAAAAAAAAAAAAACAGCACTGCAAGCAGGCCACAGCTGCTTCAGTGCGAGTTCAATCTCCGGCCCTGGAGGGGATGACGACATGGCACAGCAGACCTCTCCTGTCTCTCCCCACTGCTCCCCTCAGCAGTGTACATAGTCAATCTGCCTGCTCTGCTCCCTGCTCTGTCTCTGGGGAATCCTCTCACCACCCCTATGCCTCTGGCCTGTACCCCAGTTCTGTATGCATAAATAAATAAATATTTAAAAAGAAAGAAAGAAAGACTGAGGAGGGTAAAAATGTGAAAACCAGGGGGCTGGGGGGGAGTATTTCAGAGCATGTGACTTTGCCTGGGAAGGCAGGTCCTGGAGAGCACCTGACTTTCTGTGTGACTTTTGCCCTCCTAACCCTGGGAGGGGCTCACCAACTTCCCCTATATTCATCCTGAGCCTTTCAATTAGAGGGTACTTTTTGGGAATTTGTTAATTGGAAAGGCCTTGGATTTGCATATTTGGACAAGATCAGAAAGTGCCAACATATGAGTCACTTTGAGCAACTCAATGACAGGGTTAATAAAAATTTAGAAAAATTCCAGGGTGGTAGTAAACCTTCACAGAGATACAGGAAAACAAAAGAAGCCTTTGGGTACTTAAATAAAAGGAGGAAGGAGGAAGAAGATAAAAAAATTAATTATTAACTGACTAGATCATATTTTATAAATCAGTGTTTGAAGAGTGTAAAATACATATTGTAACTAGGGATCATAGACTTTGGATAAAATAGTTTTTATGAACAAGCTTTTCTCTGTTTACTTTAGCTCATCAAGAAAGAGATTTAGATTTAAAAAAAAATACACCTTCCTAAATTAGTTCTTCACAACTGTAATGTTTTGTTTCTGTGTTTACTTTCAAGATATTCCATATTGAGCTCATTCTCCCTGCCACAGCTGCTCAGCCAATTAACCTGCACAAGACCACACAATCCAAATTTTGTAGGTATAAAAAATGAGGTTCTAATATTTTTAGTCTCTCTCATTCGTGAATACTGGAAATTCACAACAGAGTTGAAATTCCAAATCCGAATTCTAGGTTTCTCATCCAGGAACCTCTCTGTCCCTCTATTCCTACTGGGATTCATATGCTATTTGTTAGTATATGGCTCTATCAATATATTTAGAATCCAACTCCTACCTCCAACCCTACCACCTGGCTCAAACCATCATTGCTTTTCTCCTAAGTTGTTACCATCACCTAGTTAACCTTTGCTTCTGTTTTCTCCTGTATTTAGTCTATTCTCATTACTGTTTCAGAGTACAAGTCAAGACAAATCATCTCATTCTTCTGCAAACAATATCTAGTGTGTCCCTTGGTATTTAGAGTAGAAGCCAGAGTCTTCACGCTGGTTATTCTTACACGTGATTGGCCTTTCTTTATCTCTGAAATTATCTCTGACTCTCTCCCTCCCAGTCAGGAGGCTCTTTCCCTAACTTTCAGACGTGCATCCACCACAGGAACTTGGCTGTTGCTCTCTTTCTGCCGGAAGTGTTTTTCTTGCATCCAGATATCCCATTGCTAAGGCCTCTGAGCCCTTTCACCTTACATATTCTGCCACCCTCCATTGCACTCATCACCTTCTAGCAAGCTATAGGGTTTACTTACTTATTTTGTATGTTATCTGTCTCCTTCCATTACACTGTAAGCTTTATGAGGATAGAGATGTTTAATCTGTTTGCTTGCTTGCCCTATTACTCTCATATAAGCTGTAAATAAGTATTTCACAAGTGAATTAACTTATGCTCATATGTCATGGGAGAGGACAATAGTTCAAACAACTTGTCATTTGAACACTTTTCCTACCCCACAGGAGAGTATGATTGAATTAGGGAGTGGGAAAAGGACATTTAGGACTTGGTTATCAGGTGGCACAGATATGGCCATAGTAGACTTAGAGGCAAGAGAATGGCTTTTAAGTTCCATCCTGGCCATTTAAAAATGTAGTGACTTGGCAAAGTCACTTAATCTGAATTAACATTCCCTCCATTACAAATTGGGTATGTGTACCAAGCATGTCTTACTAACTGTATGACTCAAGTGAGAAGGGCTGATTTTCCAAACATGTGCAAACATGTATGTGCTGAGGCATGTCTGCCCTTTGACTTTAAAGTTCCAACTAAACAGCAAGCCTCGTGTTCTCAGTTACTTTCCAGTTCCTTCTAAGCCCTACTGACAGCCTTGCCTTTGCCCAGATGTGTATGTGGAGCTGACCAGGAGGCAAAAGTGTCACCTTCTGGCTGAACAACAGCAAACCAACTGGGCTTTGCTTCAGTAGAATCAAAGACCACAGTGCATCTTCAAGATGATTTGACTTTTTTCTTGTGCCAATGATAAGATAAAAAGAATGAAACACAAAATTTAAAGTCCTTTCTACATAGCACTGACCGACAATACAGTTTTGCCATTTTGACCTGGAGTTTTAACAATCAGAACCCGACATCAGAGATGGCAGAGAAGCCTCCAGAATACTTGACAAGGATGCCAAAATGATAATAGGTCATGATAGAAATACCTTGCCAAAACTGAAAAGTTCCAGAGAACTCATTATGTACACTGAGTAAGTCAGAAGACTTAGATGCTGGAGTACTTAACAGAAAGAGTTGTAACTCAAAAAGGAAATTATGCTTTACTGGAAGTAACTTTCAGTTTTCATTCCAGTTGCAGGAAATCACTGAAGGCTAGTTTCCAGTAGTGTTCTTAAAATACCACATTCTGGACCTAGGGATACTTAATCTGGAAATTTCATAACAGTTGGGTTTTATTCTTTTAAATATAAGACATTAATACAGATGTCTCATGTAAAAATAAGCTCAGCAATGGCTTTAATTAAATACTGTTAAGAAATATATTGATTAATAGGCTAGATGGTTCTCAGGTAAGCAATGTCAAGAAGGACTAAAATTTCATCAATAGTGAGCAGTCTGATGAAAATACAGTGACTCTTTGTGTACCTCTGAGTGGACATGTCTGCCCTATGCCAGTGTTTGTGACATATAGCTTACCATTTCATTCCCCTTTCTACTTGTCCAGTATTTCTGAGAAGCCAACTGAATTCTACAGCTCAAATGACATTCTGTAATCACTGAGGTCACACAAATCTTACAATTTTACCACCGTAGACAGAGAATTAGGCAAGAGAAACTCCCAAAGTAGCTACAAATAAACACTCTATGTGACCTCATAGAAGCTAGTTTGGGGACAATTCTGCTGAGAAAACCATTTCTTACATATAGCTTTGGGATTCCAGAGCTTATTCGAATTCAGAACTTTCTTGAGATGCCACCCATATAAGATTTTAAAAACTTAATCACCTTGGTTTCTGGTGACTGAGAGAGTGAGAACAACCACAGGTGCACTCTTTGCAGACCTCTCCTGACCCCACCCCGCTGCTCCCCTCAGCAGTGTACTTCATCTATCCACCTGTTCTACTCCCCACTCTGTCTCTGGTGAATGCTCTTATCACCTCTGCACCTCTGGCTTATACCTAGTTTCTATATACATAAATACATAAATAAACCTTTAAAAAGAAAGAAAGAAAGAAAATGGCTGTGTAGATGTATTATTTTCTACAGCCAGAGATAATGTACAATGAAG